TTTTTAGTTAGCACAAACACTTCAAGCTGTAAGCTAATGATAGTTATATAAGACCAGATGCTGCTGGTGCAATAAGCTGTACGCTGTACGTCCAATGGATGATGATCTGATTAGTCGACTAATCGCAAAAATAATCGGTGACTAGTCGACTATCAAAATAATCGTTTGTGACTAGTCGACTATCAAAATAATCGTTTGTGGCAGCCCTAATACAGAATGGAATAGTATATTATAGAATGGAAGGGTATATATAGTATAGAAAGTCACATCAATGTTGCCTCTTAGCCAGGGCACACTATCTAACCATTGATTTTCATCACCTCAGCCAATCACTTCCCAGAATTGGGGGACGCATCAGGCGGAAGCTAACTGCAGCCTTGAGTCAATGTCTATATTTAATTTCAGCCTCCACTGTGGCCTGGGGTATTTCCAGGAATGCCTGGGATCATCCACTCCGATCTGATACAGCATCACCGTCAGTGCCGAGGAGAGTAGCGGCAGTGCCAAAGAGGTTCCAGAGCAAGCAACCAGCTACTCTAGCACCTGTGTCTGGTGCTTGGTCTGATGCTGCAGCTTTTTTAACTGTGCACAATGCACCACCACGTGTTCTTGGTGCATCCCTAGCTCAATCAGCAACTGGGCTGGGGCTGTCCGGGTTTCGACACCACTGTAACAAGTACCTGATGCACACACATTCACCATTGTGGTCAGTGTAAGTGTTCCTTTAGTCCAACAACAATTCACACTCTTGTCCTTTCTGACTTTTCAGTTGCCATGCCTCCAGCTCAGTTCTTTCCCTCATCCATTCTCAGTGGGCTACTAAAGCAGGGAGAGCATGATTAGAAAACCAGTCCCAGCTGCCCTCCCGGGCTCCCTAGTACTGGCCCCAAACCTACACCCCTCTTCTGCAGAAGAAGTGCAGAGATGCAGATCACACCCCTGCCACAATGTAATCAAGATCCTCTTGATTCATGTAGGATACAATAACATATAGTCGAGAAACTACAGAGTCTAAGTGGAATCCTCTGTGTCCACAGCACTGAACTGAGAAGTGTGATGAAGGGCAAAGGGTATCAAAAGAGTGAGTCTGAGTATAATGAATGTTAAAAATTTGCATGCATGGATATAACATGTTAAACCATCAATTCTATGTACAACACCAGGCAATATTAATTATATTCCTAATCTTGTATTTTTTTAGGAAATGACAAAAAAATTAGGTAGGTAGGTAGGTAGGTAGGTAGGTAGGTAG